TTCAGGCATAGAATAATATTTTTAATTGAATTTATTCAGTTTCCATTTGCTCATAGGTCCTTAATTTTTTTCATTAATGGTCCTTAAAAGTACCTAATTTCCATGTGCAGAAATGTGTGCGAACCCTGTACATTGTGGACAGGTTGACAGGTTAGGAGATAAAACACGCAGAAATTAGTGAGAGCATTCTTTTGTGTATTGAGACAAATTCCTAATTGTTAAAAAAGGTGCTTAAAAAGAAGGAAATCAATATAAATTAACCAAAATGTCTGGGAAGGCTTCAGATTAAAAAGATGCATAACTATTTTGTTGAGTAGTGCTACTACAAAACATAAATGTTTTACGTGTGAGTATCCGAATATCGTTTAAGAATCAATGTCATAAATTACATGTATTTTAAATTGTAAAAATTTATTAGATTGAGATTTTAATAGGGCTAAAAAAATAAAATTTAATAGTGACCATGCAAATCCATAGTGACTAAGGTTATCTTGTACCTAATTTAATTACTTATAACTGCTTACTGCTTGCCCTTAAAATTTATCTCTGCATGTATTAAAGCTAGTTATTGCCTTTCATTAACCCTTACCGTAGTCACAAGATAAAACACACAAAATGTAAAAAACTTGTTCTTCGCATTTAGAGACTTAAAATAATGTAAAACAACTTATCACCTCTGGTGCTTTAGTGGCTTATTAGAACCTTAAAGTATATTAGCTGAGTCACAACCGCTGCAGGTAAGCAGTAGCAGTGACAACAGCCAGTCTTTTGTTGTTCATCATACTGATTATGATTTTACCTCTCATTTTAACCTGTGCCGCTTGACATAAAATCTGCTTACTATTTATTAAAGCTTTAGACTGAGCAAGTATGTGACAAAATAAGGTATAAAATAAAATCAACATAAAACTAACTGTTAGTAAAACGTAAATAAAATGTCACTTATCTCTTTTCAAATATGTTCAGTTCTTATAAGTGTAAAATATATAATGCTCCTTGATAAATTTCATGCATTTTGTTCTCAGACTTAATAATAATTATGTTAATTAAGTCATGTTTAATAATAATGCATCCTACTTACGGATTTATTTTATTTTTAGGATGGTATTACAAAAGTGAAGTTCAGGCATAGATAATATTTTGAATTGAATTTATTCAGTTCCCATTTGCTCATAGGTCCTTAATTTTTTTCATTAATGGTCCTTAAAAGTACTTAATTTCCGTGCCCAGAAATGTGTACGAACCCTGAAAATATCACAAGATTTATAATATTACGATTTAAAGTATTTGTTAAAATTGTCCTCTAATGTGTAATAAAATATAAATAGATGCACTTTAAATATATAGATTTAAATTATACCAGTTCTGATGCCAACCACTATAATGAAAAATAATATATTAAATTGCATGATGGAAGATATAATAGCACTGGTAAATTTTTTATAAAGCTTTAGATACCATGATATAAGCAAATAATATTTTGATGATTATTAACTGCATCAATAGAAATGATTGACTAATCTCATTTCAAACATTTTTCTGTATTTCACTTAAAACAGATAGTTTTGAATGTAAATACTCTGAGTAATGCATGTAATGGACTTAACCCCACCAGTGGCTAAATAGTTAAGACCACTGAATACTGGTAGTTCAACCTGGTTTGGGTTCGATCCCAGGTAAATGAGCTGGCTGCATTGTTGTTTTTTATGGTTTTATGTGTAACATTAATACTAGCCAGTCATTCTCAGAAGATCCTCCACAAGAACATCTATCCTCTTAAATAGCCGAATATGAAGGCTCTTAGGGTAGCCTTCATACCTGTTATGAATTTAATGTGGGATTCTTCTGTATATGCATTATAACAAGATTCGTTACATGATTTCATAAGAAAAATGTGTTTTTTACAACTTTAAAATTTATTCTAGATAGCCAAATTTTTAATATTGGAATCAAGTATTCTTAAAATCAAAGAGGCTGTAATTTACTTTTAATATCTATAGCATTTAATACTTTGTTTTTTTAATTTTATTCGTACTGTTTGAATAAAGCCCAAGCAAAATTTTCAAATTAAATATCATAGCTGTTTAATTTTCTTTTAATAATCTCAGTTGTTGGATTCTCTTCTCCAATGATTTCATAGTTACTTACATAAAAGTTGCTATTATAATGCGTAGTTATTATAAAAATAAGTTTTTTAATTAAAAAATATTTCTTTTAATTAAAAAATTATTTTTAATATTGTTTAATATTAGTCGATTCTCCACCTATATTCACATGTTTTCAGGCTTTGTGAAAAGGCCTGGATGGCAAATATATTATTAATATTTATCTTTAAAAAATGTAGATGTTAAATTTTATAGCAAAAGTGTATGTATATTTAACTAGTGAATAGTTGCTCAGCAATAAAAAACATATAGTTGTACCTTAGGATCAGTGTCATTGCAAATGCCTTTTTATCTTGTTCTTGAAACTACAACTACCAACTAAAGCAGCCAAAACTATTCTAATGACATTGACCATTGAGATCTCTCTGCCATGTATGTACCATTTATCTGATGGTTCAGCACTATCTTATTCCAACTTTAAATGTGTCAGATGCAGCAGTTATATGTAAATTGATAATAATATAAAATATTTTTCATTACAGAACTTTTTTAACAATGAAAATCTCATATGGATCAAATGGAAAGTAGTGTATAATGTCAGTAGATGCTAATATACTTTTCTAAGTGATATGCCATCTTCTAAAAACAAGTTTCATAAGTTATTTTTTGCTGGTTATTTTTTTAATCATTATTAATATGTTGGTATGGGAAGTCGGTATTACAGCAAGTCCATATGTATACAAATCTTTCATGAGAATGAAGCATGAAAACACATTTTATTTATTACACTCTATAACAAAAAAATCGATGCACCAAGAGGGAATCATCCAATTGCTTTGAAATTTCGTATGCATAAATGTTTTAACCAAATATGCAAATGATTAAAAGTTGGTATCCTATGAATGGGTTGACAATGGCAGATTTCAGCATCATCATGATAGCGGTCGACCTTAGTTTGGAGCAATAACAGGTCTGGAGAATAGAGTGATTGCCAGATCAGCTGCCACAGCACCTGATTCACCGCTATCAACCATCAGACGTGCGACCCGCACATGAGTGCCGACCATGACCATTCACAGACAGCCGATAGAGCAAAATCTACACTCGTACCGACCGTTACACCACCTGCTACTCACGTCTTCACATTGTCGAGCCAGACTGCAGTGTTGCTTGTCTCGATCGAGTTGGAATGATGCTGACTGGAGACATATAGTCTTTAGCAACGAATCTGGCTTCCAACTATGTCGGGGCAATAATGGAAGACGTGTCTGGAAACACCCAGAGCAGCACGCCAATCCTGCTTTCACTATTGCACACCAGGCGTTATCGTCTAGGGTGCCATTTCGCTTGATAGCTGGACCCCTTTGGTCGTCATTAGAGGCACACTTACAGCACAGCGATACCTCGACAACATTCTGAAACCTGTTTTGACACCGTTCCTTTTGCAGTACCCTGGCCGTATTTTTCAGCAAGATAATGCCAGGCCACATACAGTACATGTTGCTATGAACTAGCTTACAGCTTGTCAAACACTTCCTTGGCCACCCAGATTGCCAGATCTCTCTCCCATCAAGTATGTCTGGGATATGATGCGAAGGCGACTGCATCTACCAGGGAATGATGATGACCTAGCCTGACAATTTGAGCAAATTTGGCAAGAAATACTGCAGAAGACCATCTGAGAGCTTTATCAGTCTATGCCACGCCATGTGGCAGCTTGCATCCAGGCTAGAAGTGGGTCAACACCTTATTGAGCTTGTTATTTTGTAACTATGCAACTCTAAAATAAATCATTCAATTGTTCTGAAATTTTAATCATTTTGTATTTTATGCATAATCTTCCTATCCACCAATTTTTATCTCCATCAGACAACTCCTTCTTGGTGCATTGAGTTTTTTGTTATAGAGGGAATATATAATTTTTTCTTTGCTTTTTTGGTTATAGTTCTGTTAATTATCTAAGAATATAAATGCATGTAATAAGCATCTTAATATGCTTCATTTAGACTTATCAAATATTTGTTTATATATATATCCCTAAAACTGTCTATTTATGGTCATACAGCATTTATATTCTTAATTTGCATTATTTCATATTTCAAAGTTTTCAGATTGAAAATGACCAATAATAGTTTTATACCTTTTTTTCAAGCGTTATGTGCATACAAAACCACAGGACTTAAAGACTTATTTCAGTGCCATTTTTGCATGTTGTTGTTATTGATATGCAATCAACTCCAGATTAATGAGGCTACAAATTAACTGGGCCTTGTTTAAAAAATACATTATGTTTGTTTATTGCAGAGCAATTGAAAAATTACTCTCAGAGACCATCATAATGAAGCAAAACTTTTGTAAGAATTAAAAAAAGGGGGGAAGAAGAAAATATAAGGAATAACAGCTGTGATAGCATATGGTGCTACAGTATTTAGAAATTCTTTTTATTGACAACAGTACATAATTCAGTTGTACAGAATGTGAATATGTAATCATATTTTAATCATTTGTTTAAAATAAATTGTTAAATCTTAAACATCAATTAAGTGTGCATTAATTTTCTGTTTCTCAGTAACTTTTATTAAAAAAAAGACAAAAAGAAAGAAAGAGTTATGTAAACAAAAACATTGTTTCTTCTGTTTTGAGGTTCTTATCTTAAATGCTAATTTAATTTATATAACAAAATCAAATTATTATTTTTCTATTATTTATACCCTGTGTTTTCCATTTAATAGAAAATCTTTGTGATGTTGAAAATTTTTTTAATGCTACTGTGCTCCATTAAACTGTGGAAAAGTTTGAATATTAATATCTACATATTCTGTAGTTAGAAAAGAATTAATATTTGTATTTATATGTGTTTCTTTTCTAATGTTTTGTTATTTATGCAATATGTAGATTTCCGCTGCACTCCAAAAATAAGGAAAAAAGATGTTTTGACTATGCTGTTTTCTTACTGAATAAGAATATAGCACAGGTAAGAGCATCTAAGTTCTGGTTTAGAGTAAATAATTATAGGCTGATGAGAAGATATTTCAAGGTGTTAATGTCTTATATCTGTGTTTTGCAACTTGACAGTATGACTGTATTTCTTCTTTTAGTTGCGTTTTTTATCTGGATTACCTACTCGGGAGCTGAGTGCCACACTGCCAAATCTGAGTAGCTTGATTGAGCAAAAATTATCTGCGAATAGGTAGTTTATTCTTTTCATTTCTTCTTTTCTCTCTGTTATTTTTTCCATTGGAGTGCATTCTGTTTCCTGTGTTTTTATAGCTTTAAAAGTACAGGGTGTCCATAGTTAAACTTGAAATTCGTGAGCAGTATAGCAAAAATTATACAGCATAATTGCATGAAAATTGGGTAATGGCAGAATGAAATAATGGGAATTCTAGCGAAGGGAAAAAAACAATGAGTTTCAAAAACCACTGCTAGATGGCATTGTGCAGTGTAAACTATTGGCATATTGCAAATGTCGTAACCATAGTAATCCTATTCGCGCACAGCAACCCTATAAAGATGCGATAGACGGATAGCAGTCATACTTGTTTCGAAGTCAAGGAAGATAATGTTGACTCTCCAGGAACGTGCTTTACTGGTGAAATTGTTAATCAAAACAGAGGCTCTGCTACTGAAGCTTTGCGGAAATTTCGGTCTTTGAATACAGTTACAAAAAGGTCCACTCACTAGTCAAGGATTAACAAATATGATTGGGAAATTTGAAGCAATGGGAATATTGGCAATGCAGCCAGGAAGGGGATGAAAGTATGTTGCAGCACAGGTAGTGGATGATGTAGCAATGCAAGTGGAGGAAGACAGATCACAAGCCATTGGCAGCACTAGTGTTGTGCGTATTGCAGCATCTGTTGACCAACCTCATTCCATCGTTCATAAGATTCTTCAAAAGGTCTTTCGCTACTATCCCTATAAACCTTCCCTAGTGCAGCAGCTCTTACCAGCTGATCTGGATAGTGGACAAGCTTTTGCGTTGTGGTTTCTTTCATGAGTTGAGCTTCAGGATAAATGGCCATGGAACATTTTGTGGACCAACAACGCCCACTTTCATATGGAAGGTGTGGTTAACATGCATAGTTGTCGTATTTGAGCTGTAACAAAACCACATCAATTCCTACAAATTCCATTACACTCTTCGCATGTAACGGCTTGGTGCGGCTTTGCTGCAACCTTCAGTGTGGGTGCCCCCCTTTTATTTTTAAGAGCACATGCACCATCACCAATCAAAGATAAGCTTCATTATTAGAGCAATCCCTTCTTCCAGTTCTTCAGGCAAGGTGATGTGATACAACCACAGTTTTTATGTTGGATGGTGCACCTCCACACATCGCCGGTTGTGTGAAACAAGTGCTCCGCCGCCATTTTGGTGACGACATAATCATCAGCCAGCAGTTTCCTACAGCTTGGCCTCCTAGATTCCCCGGCTTGAGTCCTTGTGACTTTTGGTTGTGGAGATACCTCAAGGCTGTGGTCTATCGTGCTATTGTGATCCCATCACATTTCTATCCGAACTTAAAGGATAGAATGGCATGTGCGTAACTTTCCCCAGTTCATGCTGCTTTCAACAGTCGAACATGCGATTTTACACTTCCAGATGGTAGCAGACAATGGTGGACATCATATCGAGCTTGTTTTGTAAATTTTTGTAGATTATTTATATGTTCTCAATATAGCTATGATACTACACCAAGGGTTGGTTTTTGAAACTCATTGTTTGTTTTTTTTTTTTTTTTTTTTGTTTTTTTTACCTTAATAAAATTCTCATCATTTCATTCTGTCATTACCCAATTTTGATGCAATTCTTCTGTATAGTTTTTTTTTTTTTTTTTTTTTTTTTTGCTACAGACTGCTTGCAAATTTCAAGTTTAATTATGGATACCCTATATTTTCATGAAAATCTGAATCTTTTTTTATATGTTAAATTCTACACAATTATGTTTTATAAGTTTTTTTCCCAATTTTAATATATAAAATGTATATTACTCAATAATCATACTGTTTGAATGTGTTAAAATAATAATTTTAAAATAGAAATCCACTTAAAACTGATTATGAAAAATGGGTACTTTCCAATTATCTGAACCCCCATCAAAAAATCGTGAACGTGTTGGGAGCTTTTGGAGAGATTTGCAGACTTGTTGCAGATATTTCAGAGAAATGAAGTTCTTTTCCCTGCCATGTGACCCTGTTGAGATCCAAAATTTTTTGCCAAGCTAATGAGAAGGCAAGAGCTATTTTCAAAAGGGAGATTTCATGAAAAAGCACTTAATGAAAATTAAAAAGCAATAAGCATTGATCACAAAATGTTTACTTTTTTTAAGAAATTTTTCTATTATTCTCACTAAAGCAGTATCCGTTTTCACTTAAAAAAATATCAAAGAATCATGTAAACTCAGCATTACGACAACTTCCTCATTGTGCATTGCCCAAAGCTAACAACTGCTTACGTAATTCGGTTGCAACATAAATACATTTTACTGATATCCTTGGTTGATATGTAACTATTTTGGTGACATACTGCATTGCCCTATGAATCTTTTTCATTAATTTTTGGCAGGGATGCAGATCAGAAAGTACTGAAAAATGTCTCAAAATAAAGTGTAATAAATACAAAATACACTGTGTTTTAAATGCATATTATTTTTTAACAGGAGTAAGGTTATTGTAGTATTAGTTATAAACTTTGAAATCAACATTCTTAAAATCTGTATTTAGTTTTTTGTCATAAAAATTAGGAGAGTTTTTTTTTCCCTGTTATTTATTTATTTGTGTGTGTTCTTTTTCTAGTAAAGTTATATTTTCTAATAAATTTTTAATTTTTTTATTGGTATTGGCAAGAGGTTGGACATTTTATCTTTATTATTTCTCTTGAAGTTATATAAAAATGTTCTTCAATTTATGTATTTTGATTGCAGAAATAATCGATGTGGTACAAATTAACAGTGCAAAAACATGCATTTTGCATTTCTTGAAACCAATAAATATTTATTCGAGGTTTATGAGCAGCTGTATTTCAGTTTATTGTCTTGAAATTTGACTAAATAGAGGAAAACCGTTAATGATTAGAAATGAGGAAAACCTTTAATTTTAGATGAATTACAGTTACCTCCTATCCTTTTTCATTCGTTAATTTCTATCCTTTCCGGATTATTAGTACTTTTTTTTTTTTTTTTTTTCTATATGTTTTAATTTGATTTGGACTTTTTCACGGAATCCTGCCAGTAAAGATTCCCCCTGAATTCTTCACTTTTTCTGTGCTGGTGTTTTTTGTTTAATTACTGATTAGAGTAAGTTTATAAAAATTCTAAAATATATTTGTGTACAATATTTTTAATTTAATACTTTACAGGTGTCTTCAACCATCTTGAGTGCAAATACATAACCCTTATATGCTAATCTGTAAATGGTATGCATATTAAGTTATGTTTTTAATATTTTATATGTATTCTTTTAAAACAAACCTCGCTACATTTACTGGTTGCTACTTGGTGTTTTGCATGAATTAACTCTTTGGGAGCAAAGATTTCCCTTCCCCCCCCATCTTTCTATTATATCAGATCTGTATCTGATTTGATTGAAAGTCTTTGATGGCATAAATGATTCATTAAAATATTTTAAATTAATAAATGGTTATTACTCGCTTGCTTGCGTACTAATATTTTATGTATTGATAATTTGCATATTTGAGAAGGTATATTTCAGTTTTTGTAAAAGAGCTTCTGAAATAATTTTCTATGTTCTAAGCTCACAAAATAATATTTTTGTGATGCATTATGTTATTAGACAGTATTTTAAGTTGATAGTATATATTACTTTCCTAGTAGATTAAAATGCAAAATAGTGCACAGAAATGAAAGGAATTTTTTAAAGAATAATGTTGAAAGGTCATATAGCAAGATGAATTGCAGTTAATAAGCAGTCTGACATTTGTGTTTATTAAAGTCTAGCTAACTTTACAAAAGATTCTAGAAAGTAGTCAATTAGAAATATTTTCAAAAGTTGCTTGTCCTCTATACCATTCTGTGCTTGAATGAAATTGGAACTCCTATTCCATGGGTGGACTGTATTTGAGGTAATGTTTCCCTCTTTAATCAGAACAGATTTGAGTGTGCCCCTAATTACCATTTATATCCTACAGATATTGCATATGTGATAGAACAAATCTTTTCCAGTTTAATAAACTGACTCTCTGGTATGAGTTCATAGTTTCATTTATCATTGAACATTTTTTAGAACATTTGTGTTTCCTGTACAGGTCAATATCATCAAAGTGGTGGTACAGTGATCCTAGCTTATCATTATGTCAAATTTACAAATCAATCCACAATCAGTAATAATAAAATTAATTTAGTTAATAATTGACATGTCACAATCTGATGATCTCATGCATCCTTCCTCTGTTAAGTCTTGCATCAATCTCTGCGAACTTGTACAATAGTGCTGTTAGCATGCTCTCATGCTAAGCGAGTTTATCCAATTAGCCTGTTAGTTCTGAGAACAATTGAGTGATATCTTAATATGGTAAGTAATTTTGTTAGTTGGATTTGTTGTACATGTGTTCTGTCATTTTTCATGCAGCATAAAGTGATACATTTATTGTTCCAAAAGGTGACTGTGCAAAAATGTTTCAAAGAAGCCAAAGCAGTTGGCTGTATATTTGGTATGGCAAGCTTTTTTATCTGTTGTGATCCTCTGTAATTTTTTGTTTTGTGGGTAAGACAAGATTTATTGGAATCATATTGATAATTTGAGAATAAAGACATAGTGGGATGCAGTATGTTTATAACATCAGGTCTAAACAACTTCTTTTTTGCCGTTGAAACACATTATAGAAAGGTTGTAGGTTCAGAATGTATAGTGTGTCACTGAATGCATTATTATTATTCGATAGAGCAGCACTCCAAGCACATTGAACTATAAATGCACAATGAATAAAAGTATGTATTTTACATTCCCCCCTTTGTTTCAGATGTCACAAAACTTCTGCATTTATATGTAATGCATCAGAATTATGGAACAGACTTCCTTCCTCAATATAGCTTTGCCATATTTTTATGCAGCTTTTCAGCTATATGTGTAGATGGTGGAAGAGATCTAACATGCATACTTTATTCATGATCACCTTACCCTTCCATTTGTTTAATTAAGCAGCAGAAAATTGTTTATTTCAGTGTGTCATTCTTTTACCTTGAATTTTATTGCAATTGTAACTAACTACTGATAGGGTGCATTCTAATTAGAAAAAAAAGTTATTATGCTCAGTTAGGTTGCAGAATCATTTCTGAAGACAGCTATCACCTGCATTTATTTTGTTATAAATGTTTGTTTTAAAAAATAAATAAATTAAATAAAATGTGAAAGAAAGATATATCATTATTATATCAAACAATGAATTAATTGAATTACTTTTAAGATGGAAAAATAGCTATGCATTTTTGTGCATATAAATTTTCCCTACGATCTTTGAATGCAATAAATTATGTTAAACTTTATCCACTGGTTATTGTTACCATATCTTGATCTTTAGAAAAATATGGCAGAAATAAAAGATATTCAGATGATTAGAAGAAAAGGCATCAAAAAGACAGAAATCACTTGTTCTTCAGTAAAATATCACCATATCACAAATATCAATATCATGAATTCTGGTTTTCCACAGATTTAAAAAAAAAAAAAAAAAAAAAAAAACTTTGCTAAATATCTATATGTAAGAGAGTTGAACTCCTCTATAATGAATTTTGAGGGACTGAAAATTTGCTTTGCCATATCCAATCCAATAGCAAAAAATGGACCATCTCGCAAAATAGGAACTGTTTGATGAATCTGACAAAAAGACATTGTTACATACCCCAAGAAATCATATTAGCAATTTTATTGTTTTTTTAAATATTAAACTGAGAAAAGTTAATTATAATTATTATTACTAAATTTCATTTTCTTTTTTTCATCAGTTTCAACAATGAAACATAGGTGATAATTTAAACCCATCCCTCCAATTATGCATTTCCATCTGAAACATGCATTTACAATTATGAATAAGCATCATCCCTGAACAGAGTGCTGTCTGACAGCTCAGCCAAAAAAACAATTCAAGCTCTTTGTCTTATTGGATCAGTCCTTTGACTCAGTGTATGACACAGTAGAACATCCTAAGGTATGTTTATAGTGTGTACTGGTTTTTCAAAAGCTGAGTTCTGCACCTGCCTGTCATAGCCACTGAGAAAGGTTAGGGGGAGAGAAGTGAAGGTAAAACAGCAGCAACCTGAAGGTCTTTTTCCTTCAGGTAATACAGTGAGCATCGTGAATTTAAAGTTTATTAACTTTTTCAGTTGAAAGTTGTAAAAATACTGGAAAAGTTTAAAAAATACAAGTGGGTTCGTCATAGTGGGATTTGACTTATTTATGTATATATAGAGAGAATCTTGTTCTTTCTTTTCTTAAGCTTGTATATACTTCTCTGAAGATCAACTTTATTTTGCTAATATTTTATTATTTCCTAAGAAAATGTGAAAGTTTAACAAGACATGTTTTACAAATAAAAAACCATTGGCAAACTCAAAAATTTTTTAAATATTGAAATTTAGTATTTAGTTTTTCCTCTGAGTTTTTGTTCTTTTTTAACAGTATCATATTAAACTGCTTATTTAGTATTATATGTGCTTTAAAAAAAGTAAAAGATAAACATTTATTAACTTCAGTATGGTTATTCAAAGACATAAAGTGCATTTGCTGCATACCATCATCTTCTTTTCATGTTTGTTCCTATTTCTCTTATCTGGACAATCACAAAAATTAGATATTTTTTTCAGGCATTAAATGACACATTACATAAAGAATGCATATAAATAAGTAGCAATTTTGTAAGCATTAATGAACCCATATAGCAGAAACAATGACTGAACATACCAAATATTTTGCAGAATCGAGGAATAAGTGCATATGCAATTTTTTTAGTATATGCAACTTTTCAGTGTCCTTCTTGCAGGAAGCCTCAATTCTAATTTTAATAAGCAAATTTGAAATCAGTTTTATTTGAACTTTGCATATTTTACTTATAATTTTCTTATAAAAACAGAAAAAGTGTTGTGGACATTTTTCCACATTTCAAAATCTTAAGTGGACAGAATTTTAAATCCTAAAAGAAGAGGATATGCAGTAATTGACCATACTGATTACATTGTAAGTTTTGTGAAAGTGTTAATGATTTTAAAAAAGTTTTTAAAAGAAAATATTTTCAGAAAAATATACTGAAATTTTACTTTTTCAGTGAGTCGCATGGTGCCCAAACAGTTGGAACTTTGCATAAAGTGTTTGGTGAAGTTAAAATTCCATTACAAGGTGAGAAATCAATCCAGAATGGGTTCTCAAAATTTCCTGATAATGCAC